TTTTTTTTTTTTTTTTTTCATGCACTCCTTTAAGTTGATGGTGAATTTTTAAGACGCCACACCAAGATGACCCCCTCCCCTCTCCCCAACGCTCCCACTCCCCATCCTCCTTCTCATTAACTTTCCCTCCCCTGTCATCCACAGTTGTGATCGAGGATGAGAATGGCGACAGTGAGGCACTGAAAAATGGAACAGAGAAGACTTCAGGGGAGGCTTAGAGCATCCAAAACCCATCAAAAGACAATCCGATTTTTCTTTCTATGGCGATATTTACCAGTTCTAATCCAAAGACACTGTATATAAGCACTTTCTCTCATGTGGCAGCAAGCAAGCACTTCCACACCCTCTTCTTCCCAATCCATCATGACCAGCCAGATGGATGGATGCACAAACGCTTGCCAGGAGATGGAGGAGGCAAAAAAAAAAACGCAAAAAAAAACAAAACAATGGAGACCCCCAGGTGGACCCCCATAACACATATACACAAACACACCCTTGATAACGGGTTTTGCCATAAATCCCATCAGGAGGAGAGGAGACTGGGGGGAGGAGGAGGCGGTGGGGGTGAAGTGAAGGATGAAGGCAATGCTGTCGAAATGCAGAAATCAGGGACAGGCTACAGAGGTAGATCCAATATAATAAACTAAAGCACACACTTCTACTATATCGTATCAATCGAACCTTTCTGCTCTTCGTTTTTTTGACTGAGGGCAGACGAATACCAGAGTTTTGTAAATATGGAAAGGGTAGCCCATATTTTCTTGCACAAAGTGAGAACTGGTAAAGTGGATTCGTTCCGTGCTGAAGACTTCATTTATTCCTAAAAAACCTCGGGCGATATGTCTTTTTTTGGAGTGACGTAAAGCCCGAGGGAGTGTTTCGTTCTTATGTTGTAGATTTCTGGTTTTATTTATTTATTTTTTTATATGTTGAGAAAACCTTTGAGCAAGTGAGAGTGATTTTATTTTTCACTTATGGATATTGATGTTGCCTGAGTGTTTTTGTTACCATACTTTGCAGCTATAACCAGTCATTTCTAAACAGTGTACTCCCCACCTGTTTGTAAGCTTACCCAGGCTTTCACCTGGATTGATTGATACTGTAACTTCACTGTAAACACCCTATTGATAAAAAAAGAGACTATTTATACTGAATTGTGCATTATTGTGTGTGCCAAATCTCATGGGGTTACAAAAAAAACAGATCTTTTTTGTGCTTTATACATTTGCGCATTGATTTTAGTCATTTCCCATGGGTTGCCATTTTTTAGGGCTCTTTTTTCGTAAAAAACAAAGAAAAAAAACACTTAAAGTACCAACTCATGCATGGCGAATATGAATTCATGCATGCGTGGCAGCAGTTCTGAAACTCTTGTGTAATCTTGAAGCACCTCGTATACAGCTTTGAATGACAGAAACCTCAAGAAACAGTCTTAATTCTCCGTTGTACTGTACGACTCTCGCTGATTTGTACAGTGGCCTAATATCTTGTAATAAAGATTATGATAACGTACTATTTACTGTTAGTGTTGATTGTGGTTTACAATAAGGAATGATGTATTTGATGTTGCTTTTTGTTAAAAAACAACTAAAAACACTTTTAAATCTGTAGCAAAAAACATGAAATTATAGTTTTGTATCAGAGAGTTAAAGACAGTAGCAGGTAGCTTGGCTTAATTTTTGGACATGTTGCTTGTACAGTTTTTCCTTTCCTTGTTGTTTTGCCTATCCGGCTGCCAAGGAAAGGTAAAGACAGCATTTTTTTTCACTGTGAGAAAGTAGCATCCTACTCTTTGGAGACGGACATGGAAGAGGCAGATTGATGAGCGAATAATCCCGTTGAGAATCTGAGATGCACACTTTGTTCTGCTGAGACAAAGGCGTGCTCAAACAGTTGCACAACAGACTATGATCTCATTATGTGTTACAGTTCTGCGAAAAAATTTTTTTTGGTTTCTTTTCTTTGTGGGGATAATGTACAACACTGCTTCCCAATGCAATAAATGTCTGTTTGCATTAAAAAACCTGCTTTCTCTCTTTAATCGAGTCCCTCCCCTGAACTCCTCCTCTCCCTGGGATGTCGAGGGCACCCGGGCGTGAGGAACGCTGATGAGACGTGACATTTCCAGCCCTGCCATGGTGACTGAATGATTCATGTTGTGTGACGAGCCCCTGTCAGCACACAGCATCTTCAGCCTGACTCTCTCAGGAACATACATGAAAGCACGCACACGCATCCAGGAGCTCACGTGTCCATTTTCCCGGCCATCTGTGAGAGGAACATTTCGCTAGTTCCCATAACCACCATCATCCCCTCTCCCTTCCCATCCTTACAGACATGAAAGGGGCTGCCTGAGCTGGGTACCATGGTAACAGATGCACCTTGCACTCCATGGGTGCTACACTGAGTTTCAGTACAGAATAGTCTTCCTGGAGCCTTGGCTTGATTTTACTGCTATCTTCAATAGGATGTTCTTCACTCTCCATCTCTGCAGTTTTCTGTCAAGAGCTCCTGTTCACTGAAAGGCGTAACAGCATTATCCCACCAAAACAGTGCTGTCTTTCAAAATGGTAGTTGACCATGACAGACCTGGCTTCTCTGACAACAAGCTGTCCTCTCATGCAGGATCAGAGGATGTCACATTTGGGTAATAATGGAAAGCAACTATGACCAGGAGCTTTGCTATGAAGAAGATATAATAATTCTTAAAAAGTTACTTTTGTTTTAAGGGTTAACCAAAAGGCTTGTGTTCCTGTCAAATAAATCAAATAGCTAAAGTTGCAGAATTGGATGAAATTTTTAGATTTATTATTTTGGATAATCATTGAAAACTCATGTAGGTCCTGAGAAAAAAATAGATTCCAGATTTTTCTGAGATAACCTAAATAAATTTGTTCAGTATGAATTATAGCCAAACTATCCTGACACTATGTGAAAGAAAAAATTAATCCCATCTGTCTGACCGATATCAGTTTGTTCACGTTAATGATAAATCTTCCTCATGCTCCAGATAAATGCTAGGACAATTATTTTTGCTATATATATATATATATATATAGAGAGAGAGAGAGAGAGAGAGAGAGAGAGAGAATTATTATATGTAATTTGTGGACGCACTGTTGATATTGTATATATACATGCACTTTTTTCTACCTTTGGCACATTCTTCTTCTTTGATTATTTGAGCTGATGTAACGACTAAAGTTCTCCACTGTGAGATCAATAAAGTCAACCAATCAATCAATTAGACAGCATGGGATTAATTTCCACTGTTATGCTGATGATACTCAGCTATATCTGTCTATAAATCCAGATGAAGCTAACCTATTGCATAGATTACAGGCATGTCTTGAAGACATAAAATACTGGATGACTCTTAACTTTCTTCCCCTGAATGTAGACAAAACAGAAGTAATAGTCTACGGACCAGAGTCTTTGAAAAAGAAGCTGATTAATCAGCCACTTCATTTTGATCAGGACCTGTCATTTAAATCCCATATTAAACAGGTTTCTAGAATTTCCTTCTCTCATCTGCGGAATATTGCAAAAATAAGAAATATCCTGTCAAGGGGTGATGCTGAGAAAGTAGTCCATACATTTATTACTTCAAGGCTGGACTATTGCAATTCTTCACTATCAGGAAGTCAACAAGCCATAGTTAAAAGCCTTCAGCTGATCCAAAATGCAGCAGCCAGAGTTCTGATTAAAATCAAAAAGAGAGATCATATCTATCCTATCCTGGCTTCTCTTCATTGGCTTCCTGTTAAATCCAGATTAAAATTTAAAAACCCTTTCTCATATATAAAGCCTGAAATCTGTTCTTTCATCGACAACTGACATAAATCTACAACAGCGTTTCACATAACCTAACCTTTCTGGAGTGTTAAATGTGTTGAGAACAAAAAGTTTATTCAGATTTAAAAGAGAATTAGTTTTTCACAAAGGGTCAAGTTGATTTGGATAGCTTTACTTTTTCTTACAGCTGTAAATGTTTTAACATTCGCTTTAATAAAACTACGGTGTTTATGCTGTTTCTTGTTAAAGAAAAAAGGAATATGTTAAATGAAAATAAGTGAAATAACGGACATGTTACCTGCTTTTGAAAATGAAACTACATACTCCAACGTGTTAATGATCGTTCAATGAGGTTGTGAATGAGCAGGAGTTTGAGGGACTAACAGGAAGGCCGACCAAACACGATCTGTTCTCTTTAGAGATTTTAATCTGTTGTTCATTAAACATACTAGATTTGGGAATAGAAGTAGCTTTTTGAAATCTCTGATTTAAAATAAGGATGTAAACTCTTTAAAGGAATAGTTGTAAGAATGACTGTCATCTTGCTATGAAATGGTATTTCGTTTCAAACGAGTGATATTTCAAAATGTATTATAAACTAAAAGGAAAAAAGTGCAACACAGACACTGCAGCGAAAGGAATGTTTACATGGTTTCAGTAACTTCAGTTGTCACGATGAAGGTTGAATGATAGCACTAAAATCTGGTATTTACTGTGACACAAAGCCAGTGCTCACAGGTATATGGGATCTACTTTTATGCTTTCTATGGTAACAAGCATAAAAGTAGATCTAATTAATTTAATTAAAAGTAGGTGTAATTAAACAGAATGGAAAAAGTTACTTATTTGTGCTAATTTAGGCAATACAGTTCACTTACCAGTCATGGTAACTTCAACATCTCTTTGAAAATATTTTCCTCCTCCACCTGATGTTTATCCTTTTCTTAAAAACGTTTCCAGTTTCATTGTCTTTTAAGCTCTCTTTTAAGATGATGAAACCATTTATTGTTCTGCTGCTGCATATGCAGGGTCCTGCAATTTGCTGCATTAGTGCAGACCTACAGTTGTTGGGTTAGCATCCCCCAAAAAACTTCCATGTCGTCTCTCAATTACATTGAACTGTTAGCAAGGGGAAACACTATTATTTCGTGTTTTAGTACAATTTTATCCCTTACATCTATTCACTCACAATGGCAGAATGTCATGGAGCTCCATAAACGGGTAACCATATAAATTCAAATAAAATTCCTCACCTATGAAAATGTATCTGATTATTCTTGAAGGTAATGATACACAGATAATAACACATGTAAATGCAGTCATTGATTTCATGCAGTAAAAAAAAAAGGAACACAGTTACATAATGTCCCTGTAAAGTTTACATAACTGGACATTAAGTGAAATAACCATCAAAAGTGCTGGAATAAGACGTTAAAGTAAAAAATAAAGTTAAATTCAGGATAATGAAAGCTCTTTATACACTGACTTCATACAAGGAAGGCATAACCGACCACACAGAAGGGACAGAAAATATATGTTGTTCTTAAAGTATATTGAAGTGGTTAAAAACATGAGACATTTTTGAATTAAGATTTTAAAAAAAACATAAATGTACAAATGCCTTTGTAAGGAAAGAAAGAGATATCCTTCACATAAACAGTGACAAATACATGTTTGCTAAACGTATGTCTACACAGACAGAACTTCACAAACTCAGGCTAAAGGTTCGGCCTGTGTTTGCACCGGCAGCCTTCATGCTGAGGTAACAGTAATAAACCCTGGATCCTCTAATCAGCCTTTGCATTTATACAACACAAAATAAGTGCAAGTCTGTAAAAATATTACTATAAGTATTTCTTTAAAACTGACGTTTTTGCTTCATATAGACCTTTTTCTCCTCGCCCCTTTATTCTAGATTTTCAAACCTTTCTTCTTTTACTTAAATGTTTTCTATTTGAATTTCCATCATTATCCATTTCTACTAGAATTCCACTTTTATCACATTCAGTTAAAAGGGCTTTCAGCAGATATTCCAAAAATTGTTTGCTGGATCCTTTAACTTCAAATGAACTGACTCATAATGCCTGTCGAATGTGGAGGAGTACTCTGATCAAAGGGCCAAGTGGACAGTGAGTTTAACCTGTGGGATAAGCTGATTGCCGCTTTTCAAGCTGAATTTCACAGACTTGCTGCTACTGCCGGGGGAAATGCTACAGTTTTTTGTCCACATGCAGAAACATAAGCAAGACTCTGATAAAACGGTAAGTTATTTTATTTAATTTCTGTAAAAGAGAAAAAAAGAAGAAGTTAGGTGTCATGGGACCTACTGTAAGGGATACAGTGAGCTCAGTCCCGTTTGGGAGAGGAGATTTTGGCGAGCAGAGAACATGGAAGGAAGGGCGAGGCTTCTGTTGGTCAGGTTAAAGTCCCAAAAGGAAGCACAAGGAGACGAGGTACGTCGACAAAGGCAAAACTTTTTCAGGAAAAAGAGGTTTAGGAACTAAGTTCAGGTTAGGCCTAAGACAGGAAAGCAGGGAGGGCTTGGCTACCATCTACCATCAGGTAAAGAATGGTCACCCAGCAGAGGCAGAGTGATGGGATTAGATACCAGTTGTGCTGTTAGGACGACTGCAGTTCTGCCAGACCCAGCAGCGCACACAAACACCACAGGATTCTAACAAACCAGAATAAAGCTTGAAACGCAGCAGTTATCAACTCATTATAACCCAACCCCACAAGAAGGATCTCACCAGAGGTGGAAGCGAAGGTCTCCTTCTGTCATGATGTTGACACTTATGACTGGCTTAATTACTCTTTCCATTCAGCTGCCTAACTCTGCCCGGTTGCTCATCAACTCTCATCTGAACCACCTGCTCCTTTCTCTATCTAAGGTGCTTGAATGCAGTCATCATGGCCAGATTATCTTATTCAGTGGTGAGAGGGTTTTAAGAGTTCCTTGTTGCTTCTAATTTCATGACCCTGACCTGTTTTGCCTCTCAACAACTGAGCCTGCCTGTTTCCATCTGAACTGTCTGCCTTACCTAGCTTAGGGCTCCTGTATGTTCTCCGGGGCTGCAGCATCTGGGACACTCTGGGCGGCGCCCGCCGCATCTAATTGGCAGCCCACCGGCTGGATCCTACCCACCGGCACCCTAGCTCACTGGCTGGATATGAACTTGAAAACCAGAGGTTTCAGCCTTAGATACCC